ACCATTCTTGTATTGTTGGTAGTGTCTGGGTTTTCCAAAATTGTGCATACAAAAGTCTTGCTGCGCTAATCATGTATTACCTCCTTAATTTGATTTTCCTTAGTCAAGTTGTTTCTTTCCTTTGGCTTTGTGCGATTTGTCTCATTTATTATACTCAAAGCTATCTCCTGAATCTCTTCCAAGCTATTAACAGACTTCTTGAACACTGTTGCCCAGAATCGAATCCAGGCTTCCCTCTGAGGTCTTATGAACACTGGATACAGCCGATATAATTACTTCCCAAATCATGGAATCAGTGTAAGCTACAGTGGTGTTTAGCTTTCTCCACTCCTGCATATAGTCATAGCGTTATCCATTCTAACCTCTAAATCAGAAGTGCCATTACCTATCTACACATTTTATATATATACTGATAATAATTATTTCTTCTTTGTGTGGGTTTCTTTGCTTCTCTTAGTCTTTAGAATATATGAGCAATGAGGATCTGGGTCATATGATCCCCCTTTATGGCATGTCTATCTCTCCTGTTCCACCCTCTCTGACATTTCTGAAATGTCACATAATCAGGGTCACCCAAACTGCATGGATATATAACATATACTTTAATTTTGTTATGTATAGATTGAGCATACACATATTGAGCTACAATGTAAGATTATCTGTAGTCATAACATTATAAAATCTAATGTACTAATTTCAGGTATTGGTAGAATAGTCTTGAACCTTACATCTTTAGCACAGGGGTTGTTATAGTATTTGTTTTGTTGGTATTTTTCTTGTTGAAGGATGGATGGACTTCAGTTTTGCAGGAATTTTTTTTTTTTTTTGGATGTTTAGAAGGTTGAGGTCTGTCATTAATGTTCAGATGCATAATAATGGTTCAAGGGGATAAATCTACTCCATTCCTTTTAGTAGTCATCAAGCTGCCATTTCATCAGATATAAGAAGAGAGATTAAGATCTTTATGCAATAACTTTAAGAATTGTTATCTAAATGTTCTTGTTTTCCTTTTCCTGCTGTACCCCCTTTTCCTTTTATAACATGTATTTTTAGAAGAAAAGTCCAAGGACAAAGACTGCCTCCTTTATTGTTTTGTAAGTCATTGTCAGCTGTTTGAGGTTGACAAAAAACAGACACCACAAGAACTACTGGAACTCTACTTTATTGTTAAAGGATATAACAACAGACTCTTGAAAGCTTGACAGAGCTTTCTTCCCCTGCTT